TAATCTATATTTAAAAATTGAAATTCTAATTTAAAATTCAAAATCCAATTAATTTTTAAATCTAAAGATCAATATTTTAATAAGATAAATTTTTAAATTTTAACTAAATAAAATAAGATAATTGAATGTTAAAATTTTATTTTTTTAATCAGAATTGATATATATTTATGTTATTGTAAATAAAAAAATTTAAAATCTAAACCTTTTAAAACGTTAAGATTTTCAATCTCCACCACAGCAATTTAAATGAGATTAATACCATATTTTGGAATAAAAGGAGTTAAAAAAATTATTATACAATTAAAAACTACCAAATGAGATGAGTTTTCTTTCTATTTAATAGTTTTTATTTTACAATTTAATTCAATTTGAATTATAAAATAAAATTCTCATATAGCATAAGATTTTAAAAAATGTATGTTTTAGTTCAAACTATATAATAAAAATATAATTTAATTAAAAAATTGAATTTTCTAAGATTTATTTACACAATTATACTCTCTCTATCCCAAAATTATTGCTAAATATATCATTTATCATATTCCTAACACACAAAAAATAAATTTTTTAAATATATCATTAATTTTCTTAAATCTTAAAATTAATAAAAAAAGATAATATATGGTTGACTCCCTCCTTTCTCTCTCTACTTGATTTTGTCTCTATCTCTCTCTAAAATCTTATATAACATTATATTAGCTTTTGTTTGTTAGATAGTTGTAATTTCTTTTAGTTTGAAATGTACTTTAGTTAATATAACTTTGTAACAGGATGATAATTCTTTACCACAAAGTTGTAATTTCTGAGAGCATTTTGGTTGGCATCACTTTTAAGGGTTATAATTTCTTTTAATTTGGAGGGCATTTAGTTGGTAGATGTTGTAATTATCTTTTTATCCTCTATCTTCACTAATTCTCTCCTTCTACAAAACCTCCATTCACCATCTCCCGCCATTAACTTCATCATCAATGGCTCCCAAACACTTCATCATGCTAAGCTTTGATCTTATGCCATTTTTTCATTTTTGTTTGTTTGTTTTACTTTTACCTTTAAATTGAGGGAAGTATTTGCTTAGGGTCAATTGTAATAATATACATTATTTTTGAAATTGAATTTTATGTAAATTTATTTACATTTTTGTTGATTTGGCAGTCTCCTAATTTTACTAATTTTTACTTGGTTGCTGGCAAAAACATGGCTTTAACCATAAGATTTAGAATTTTATGTAGCCTCCTTTTTACGTTGTGCAAGGCTACAAGGTTTCATTTTCTTTATTTTTTGCTTCGAATTTTGTTACAAGTTTGAAGAAAGCAGATAATTTATTTAGAATTAAAAAGACAACTGATAAATTATTGTTTAATGTAGTTTATTAGAGCTAAAATTAAATATTATTTTCTTATTTTATTGTCAAAAAATATATTTTAATCATGATTGTATCAAACTACAAATATAAACTTTTTTAATAAAGATTTTCTTAATTTAAGAGTCGATATTTTGCATTTATATACTATTTAAATTACAAAACAATAAATCATTTTTATTGTTTATTTAGACAAAAATAATAGAGTTAATGTAAATTTTAACTATATTTTTTTATATAAAGACAAAAATTAGATCTCAACTACCCATGAAACGCATTGAGAAATGCTAGTATATAAATAGAGTTGACGTAAGGTTCACGCTACACCCTTATTCCTTAAGATGACCAAAGTCATAAAAGACTTCATTTGTCTTAATGCTTTTATCTTGGAAATCAAGATCTAAGTGGCGAGCTTGATTTAATTATAAAAAAAAAAAAAGGTAAAAGAATAAAAAAAATCTAATGTCATGTAGTTTTATTTTCCCTCTAACTAAAACTAAAATTTTCATGTATGAGTGTGGTTGAATTAAATTTTTTTTTTCTCTTCATACACTTCCCTATCTCCTGAGATT